AAAATTCCACATATGTACAAAAATTACTTCGTTTTATTAAATCTTAATGTAACATGTAGTTTTAAAATATTTTTTACAAATCCTTTAGGCAGCCACTTCATTCTTATCCACAGTACAGTGGAAAACAATCAATACACAATAAATTTATTAAATCACGAGTGAAATGTTTACATTTTGTCAATCTACCATTAATCTTATTGCTCTCTTCTCATATGTAGTAGCTGTTAAATGAAGAAAATAAGACTTTCACACTGATATTTTCCCAGGTAGAAATGCCACCACATTTCACTCTGAAACAACCCTGTACAATTGCACAATTAGAATGAAGTCTTGTAAAACCTGAATAAACAAGATTTGTTTGAAGATCGACAATAGCTTGACAAGCGACTTTAGCACCTGGTAGATGCTTTTTGAAGAAATAACATAGAGAGTGACATATCTCAACTTTATTTAGATAGGCTGTCTTTTTCCCTTTACTTGGTACAATGTTTTATGAAAATGTTTCATGAAACAATTTCTACTTTTATGGACAAAAACATGCTTATTTAGAAGCCAGACACCACATGATACCATATGAACTAAAATAAAGATGTTTGCTATTTATCTGCTGTAGTCTACAATGACTACCAATGGACAGAATAGTTAAAAACATGGCCATGTTTCTGTGTTTTACAGTATTAGTTGTTAATTTCTGGAAAGACTGTCATACAACATCTTACAGTATTCTCTGGTTGACAGATTACTTTCCAGATATGTGGTAGGGCTATATGTTACTCTCTTCTTCCCTTTGGAAGGAAAGAAAGGAACTATGGCAGAGGTCGGTAAGAAATTATTATTCTTTTCTGAAAGCTGCCTAATACAGACTCAGGATCAGGCACACTGAATTCAATCAGTACTGGGCTAAAATTGCAACAAGACTACGTGTAAAAACAAACCCCATCATCACCCTGATGCACAGTAAATGATGTAAGTGATGTAAGACCTTCTCCAGGACCAAACAATAATTAATTTTACCCTGAGATTTCCCCACAGATACACTTTATTTTGCATCAAAAAGAAAAGAATTATACTTTTTGGAGTAAGCTGCTACAGGTAATCAAAGCTCCTGACAGCATTGTCACATTTATTATTTTTGTTGTTTATCATCCTCCCCAGTTGCACACCTTTCTGCAAATTTTAGCTACTCTAATAACCAAATGTATATTTTCCTAACACTACTTTGCATTTAAAAAAAAACCAAAAAACAAAACCTTAATAATTAACAATCACACTATGCATTTGGCCATGAGACTGCATGAACTTGGAAAAAAATAATTCCTAGAGGTGTATAGACATCTGATAAATTTAAATTTAAGACTAGGGTAACTATATCTAGCTTCTGTTTTAAAAGCACTTACTAGAAGTAAGAGGACACCTTTTTTTCAAGAAAGTATCAGTATTTTGGTTGTGCCAAGAGGTAACTGGTATTTATATGTGTGCATATACACTATTACTTGCATATATATTCCACATGCATTTGAAGAGTTTATGATTTTATATATTTAACCAAAATCCAAAAAGAGATGTGTAGGTAGACTTTTGGCAGGAATTAATCAGCTTCCGGTGTAAGACATTAAAAATCAACACAAATATAGGCAGCAAATGTAAAGCTATAATAATAACTTGCTTTGATGTGCATTTAAATCTACTGTCTGCCATGAAGAAATTCAACACATCATCAAACGTGCCACTGGATTATCACAAACGGCCAAGGAGACAAAGCCACAATTGAAAAATAACTACATTTATTATTCTTTCTATATAAAATTCTTTTCATTAATGCTCAGCAACACACATTTGGCAGCTGAACTGGGTATTTTTTTGAAGCAGCAGTTAACAATGCAATCCACAAAACAAAGATAAGCTCAGTGGTTTCCAGGAAACAGAAAGATGAAAGAATGCGGAGAGAGTCAGACATGGTTTCAAATGAAGAACAAGTGAACTAAGGTCAAACTGAAACCTAAAAGAAATTCAGCAAGGGCCCAGATACCACGGTACAGATACATTTCAGTTGGATTGAAATTTCACTATGCATTTCAACAATGCATACAATACGTTCTTTGGTATATGAATTCACTAGGGACAATTTTTTTCAAAGTAAAGGAGGAACTCAGATTCCAAAGCCCTTAGTTTCACTAATTCAAATGTAATATTTTGCAGATTCTATGTGTTTATATCAAATGTAAATTAGATTGAAGTTTTATCTTCTGTCTTTGTTTTGTGAGTTTACTCCCAGATTTAGCTGACACCATGAAGTCTTACATGATATATTGGGTTAATTGTAGTGGAGGAATCCATAAATGTTATCATTTCAGAAGCCAGCACCTACTAAATAGCCTTCTCCAGAAATACGATTAATGTATTCATTCCCCTTGAAGAGAAGGTCATTACCATGATACAAATAAATTTAAATAATTTTACAGTAGTGGGGAAAATACAGCATTCTACCATATACACCAAAAAAAGCCAATAGAGCTACCTTTACACCTACTGCAAGTAACGTCCTAAAACACAGAGCTAAATTCTGTTTAGATAAACTATTCATAATTTCCACCTAGGAAGCGAAAACCAAAAATATATTGTCCAAGGGACTTTTCAAAATACATTTTAACATAAGTTCTCTCAGATACTATGTTTGTAAAATACTGTGTTTTACAATTATCAAGTATAACCATGCATTCAGAAATAACACTCCTAACTGCTGGGAAATCACCTCCCCTACTCAGAGCAGAGAATTTGTTTATAATTTTACATAGCAAATTGCAGTGGTTTAGGAAAGAGTAAAGGACAACTTGAAATGCAACGTGAATTTTAAAAACACGGATTTTAAATACACAATTTTAAAAAAAAGTAGAAAAATAACAATGCTAAAAGCTGCACACATGGACTCTTGCCATAAGTGAGAGGTAAATCTCTCACAACCCGCATTTTATAAAGCAGAAATGACAACTTTATTACCAGTCAAAATATCCCCTAGAACCATGCCTAGGCATTCCTCTTCTGACATACAGTGAAGAGTGCCACCTATTGAATAAAAACCAGCATTTCCAGAAATTATTAAATTATTCTGGAAACATGCAATCTATGTACTCCCTCCCTCAACCCAAGTTTTCAGTTTAGTTTTTCATCATGCAGTGTCTTGGCAGAGACCAGATTTGCCAAAATATTACTTTGGTATAGAAACAAGGTCAAAACAAAACTGCATATAAATTATCTGATTTAAGAAAAAAAAAAAATATACAATTATGTGTGTTTCATTAAAAAGAAAAAAAAATTCTTTTTTTAAGGCTGTTATTTTTTCACTCAAGAAAATGTATCTTTTCTATAAATTTAACTTTACTGTTAGAAGGAGAAACCTAGTTGCATTCAGACCTGAACACTTTACCTTCACTGACATCTGAAGTATCTCACAGAGGACCTACTACTCACATATTTGACATCCACATGCCATGATCTCAGTCATGCTCCAGAGCAGCAATGATCAGAAGACAGTGTGTCCCCCTAAAGAAGCCCTGCCAGGTGCTGCAATGCAGGCAGCAATGCTACACATTGGTGCAGGTGACATTCTGTATTTATAAACAGTGTAAATTGGCATTACAGTCTATCAATTTAGAGTTTTAAATACACACAATCTAGTCAAGGAAGAATGGGTGGTATATTGCAAGAGTCTGCATGTAATGTGATACCAAACAAAACTGCTATAACCCAACCAAGTTTTGGAACTGACCCATTTATAAACAAAATATTTGAATGAGTCAGCAGCCCACTGCATTTCCCAGGCCTGCTGTACACTATCATACAATCCCCAGACACACTTCCTCAGATTGTGCTTGCCTCATGAGCAAGGTCAGTAGCAACAAAAAGTGATATAAAGGTCAATGAGTAGAAAAATATTACAATATGCAGACTTACTTCTATCTGATTACCCATTAACCTACTCAATATACTAAAGCTCACAGATTTCCTCTATTTATTTGTCTCCCTATTTTAACTGTTTAATACAACATAATAGTGTATTAAAATAATGTTCTACGATTGTTTTGGTACAGTGAATAAATAAGAAGTAAATATGCTTCCTTATTGTAGTCACACACCCCCAAGTGAACAGCTTCTAAAACAACCACTGTTTCCTTGTCTGAAGTCTTTATTCTCATACTTCATGCATACTCCAGCACTGCCAGAATAAACCTTGCTTATGTTGAGGGGCTGGAGCTGTTGCAACTACAGCAACGGTGTTATAAGTAATTGAGATTATATCACTGTGGCTATGCTGCCACCTGAATCACAAAGCTCTTGTCTGCACTAGAGATTCCTTTTTGAGGGTGATAAAATATAACAGGAACAATACATTTCCTGACTCTGGTTCTTGTGGAGAGTAAGCCTACTGCTAAATAAAGACCTCCAAGACAAAAAGGTAGGCTACACAGATCTTTGGTCAGTCACAACAAACTTAGATATTTATGTTTTTCTTACTAAGTGAAAAACTCTAAAATCAGCTATACACAAGAAACAAATTTCTACAATGCACAGACATAAAAATGCTATTTTTCTTTCAATTTAGTGAAAATAAAGAAAGATTACCACAATAACTTAGTGTATACAATACTCTCATCAGACCTGGTCCTTCAAAGAACACTGAAGTACATGAGCCATTAAAAAATCCTTTTTAGGATGCATATAAATATTATTGTTTATGCTATGCACCTCTGAGGAAGAAGAGATTAGAATAATGTCTTTGACTCTGAAAGATCCTATATTAAAGGTAAGTATGCATTACAACTGAAGAAAAAAGGTTTCCCAGACTAATTATTTGAGGCTTTTGACTGCATATTTCTTTGGGGATTCCTTCAGAAATTTACATAAGGTTAAAGAATTTGATTTTATTTAAAGACACAAGGGATGATAAATTCTAACATTCCCAGACCAAAGGAAGAAAAATATGACAAAAGTAGGAAACTTACAAGACTTCTCTCTAGGGATTCCAGCTGATAATCTATTTCTTTCAGACGATTCTGTTGATCACGTTTTTCCTTATTGTCCCGCAGAACTTTTTCACCTGGAATTGTTTCTAGGTTTCTGCTTGCATAAACCAGAGGCTCCGGAGAAAATAATTGATAGAAGTTAACCACATAACTTTATATTGCTTCACAGACAGATGAGGGTTCTTCTGATTTCTACTACAAAAATAGTGAATTGCTTAGAATAATACATCAATGTTAAATTCTGCAAATGCAGTTTTCATTATGTATATTCTCAAATACAATAGCTAAATATCAGGCAAAACATATTTCAATAATAGGATTCTTACTCTTTGCATTTTAAGAGGAATTTCTTAGTCTCCAGATCTAACACCTGGATGCTTAATTTCTACTATATCAATAAAAGTCCTCTGACAATAGGGGTGACTGAATGACTGGTTCAAAGTTTGCTCCTCTTAACCATTCTGAGATCAGAATTAAGCCAGAAGGAAAAGGAAAAAACTGAGCCAAAATTACAACAGGTTTTGTTTACTTGGTATCATGGCAAACGAGGAAAAACCCTCTATCTGTAAGTTGGAGTTAATTGCCCAGCCTTTATTAAAGATTTGGGTTGCACATTCTCACATGATTCAATATGTTTGAACTAGATTCTGAAGTTTGTATCAGTCCCAAATACAGTCAGGTTTCAGTATTACATGTAATTCAGTTCATTGAGAATGACAAGTATTGGCAAAACTACAAAGTTATGTTGTAATCAGAAAAAACTCCAGAGCTTTCTCTTGCAAACCATAGATTCTATAGAAAAATCCAATAGTGGCAAATGTAAAAAGCCAAAGCATTCCCCTTTCTTGATAATCAATTCAACACAAAGGGACATGAGCAGCCATAGAATAAAAAAATACTCTATTCATTCTTACTTTCAGAAGCAGCTCAAGAAATTTTAATAGACACACATGGAAAATATTTCCAAGTAGCATGACTAATTGGAAAGAAAAACAACCTTCACAATTCAACATTCAACAGTAAATTCCTCAGCTACAATATATGAAAAACTGTATCTGTAAACAACTTTTTCTGAACATCAAGCACATCTATGAGTTCTGACATTTAAATCAAAATATTAGTTGCTTGAAAATAAACTTAATACAGTAAAATTTTTTGAATATTTATTTACAATAAGTAATAGTTGGCAGTACCACAATGACAGTAAACTTTCCTGTAACAAACATATTTTCTGCTTCATTCTGTGTTGCTTTCATAATTACTCATAACAATCTATTTGATATTTGACCACTCTGGAGCATTAAGCTGCTGCTTTCTCATAAGTAGTTCTTACAGCCTCACTTCTCTCATCCCTGAATAGTAACTGATATAAACTCACACAATATGAGTAAAGTCAAGGTTTTTCCCCACTTACTAATTTTTCAACATTTTTCTCAAAATATTATTAAATTGTATAAAGTATTATATCAAGGAAAACAGTTTATTGTCAATGTTTTGCACACTTCAGAATATGTTTTGTTTCAATTATATAGCACATGTACATAGTAGAGAAGTCCATTTAAGATTACTTTGTCTTTCATATTTTTAGATTTAGAAAATAAAACTGTTAAACATTTTACATAAGGGAAAATACAAATATTAAGCAAGAGCCAAAGCTGAAACAAACATAACGCTAAAGAGAAATACGCAGTATTTGAAGTACCTACAATTATTTGTTGCGCTTCCTCTCCTCTGAATTTTATACAAAAATAGTAACAAAATCCCACATAATGAAGCATATTAGGGTCATACAATCATCTTGAGGCATAAAACTGGCTGATCAGTTTATTAACCTGCTTCTAACCATGCTCTGAAACAGATCACCATCATCTGTGAAATTCATCTGTTTTGGCAAAGCACAGGCATAGACTATAAGCTATCAAGGACTTCATTAATTGAAAAATTAGTGTATCTTCTTAAATTTTGAGTATTTATTTAATCTTAAACTGCTAACTGTAGACCACTGCTATAATAAAAAAGGGAATATTTTCTTGATTAAAAAAACCCCAATCAGTTATGAAAGAACTCCTCATGGTAATACACATTAATTATCTTTCAAGACAACCAAGCCTACAGATATTATTGTTTCTTTAAATACCATCTTCATTTGCTTTAGTTTTCAGATAGTTTTTCAATTTTTCAAGCTGGTAACTGTACTCATCACATACAATCTTATACTTCATATTCTTCAGCCTATCATTTTCCTGTTTCTTTTGGGATTAAATTCAACTTAATTTGTTCTTCCCCAAAAATATTAAGTAAGACAGAAACATTTTTAAATATTTAGTTGATTTGGCACCAGAGCAAAGAAACATTTCTGAGAGAAATGCAATTCTGATGAGAAACATTTCCATGTAAAAGAGAACATTAGTCATGGAAAAGCATTCTTAATCCCGCTGGACTTCTTGCACAAAAAGATGAACATGTCTGCTCCTCTGTTACAGCTCAGCTATGGTATTGCAGGATAATTGAAGCCCATTATTAAAGATTTCAGAGTGAGAGAATAGTTCCTGTATCCTGGCAAAGGATCCATCAGTGACAAAAAGGACATCTCCCACAGAGGCAACAGTGATTAATTGTTTTGTATTTTGGAAGCTATATCTAACATAATTCTTGGAAGAATGTGCAGCTTCATCACATGCAACTCTAAGCTAATTCTAAATTAAAATCATAGAACTACAATGTCTGAAAGCTTTTTACATGCTGCCAAACAAAACCGAAGGGAACTGCTTTTCACTAATGAAAGGTAACAAGAAATTAGCTACCTGCTTTTGGTTGTTAGGTTTAATATTACTCAAAAAAGATAACACATTACTCTTTCATTAGCATACACCTCAATGCAAGTTTCTATTCAACTATTTCTGGGCTATTACCTGAAAAGAAACAACAACAATAACTTGGACAAACATTTCCAAATAGAGCACTCATTATCCCAGGCAAGTCACATTAACTTCAAACTGATGCCTTGCAACACTGAACACAAGGTCAGGCAATCACTGGCAAGCTCAGGGTAACAACTGCATTTGTTACGTGATTACCAACAAGAGGGAGGTGCTTTTTCACACATTAGATCCCAGCTGGTAAATGATCAACATCAAAATGTAACTCCTCTGGAACTAAGCTACAGAAAATACTGCTAGAGGTAAAATAAAACCTCACACTCAGAAAGAAGCCCATAAAAAAATGACATTAAAGTGCCCTTACAAAAGGAGAAAAAAAACCAAGCCTACAGGTATTTTAGTCTTTCAAAGAGCTATTTCTCATACACTGGTAACTGAAAACAGTTTTCTGAATGAATATTTTTACAGATATTCTCTGATACTTCAGTTCTGGCCATAAAACGAAAATATTACAGAAGTATGTAAGCTTTGTGCAAATAAATGAAAAATAAGAATTAGGGTTTTTTGTTTTAAACCCCATTATAGTAGAGACAACAGTATCAGGGCATGGGATAAGTTGGAGTCTTCTAAGTACAAAATTCAAACAATCATTTCTCAAGGCTGAGACCTTGATTCTTAATCTTCAAATCTCAATATTGCTGGCAAGGCAAAAAGACAAAGGCCATTAAAAACAAGGGACACACAATTTCAATCTATCTTCTACAGTCTTTAACATTGCTTATCAGTCACTGCCTTATCCTTCAGATCATAAGTGAACAGGCACTTTTGGTATTCTGACATAAGAAGGAACCTAATTCTAACTCCCAAAGGTAAACTATAATGCATAATTTGTTTCTATGCTGAAAAAACCACCCTCATGCAGATAAAAATGTACGAGTTACCCATTTCTGAACATGTATCTTGGAAGTGTGGAATCAACAACTCTTAAAAACAAGTCAGTTCTCGAATCACATATGACTCAAAATAGCAACAAATTATTTTTCCATTGTTTTCTACAGCTAAAATTTCTCACTTCACTCCTTAATCCATAGACTTTATGAATAAATAGAGGATCCTAAAGAAAAATGCAAAAGATACAAATACAGCCATATGCGGTATTGATCTCAGCACACACGTCATATAAAATATCTGCAGAGGAGCTCTGATCTGTAACCTACCTGATGTATCTGGCTTGGACATTTTGAGCTACAGCTGGAAAGAGCAGGAAGCTCCCCATCAGATAGTAGCAGCTGAAGCTTATTGTCAATCTCATTCAGGAGATGAAATTCCACCAGTTCAGGTGTGTACCCTTCTCCTGGTGCCTGCCAGACAGGTACATTCTCCTGCTGGATGTACAGAAAATACTTATGCTTCATTCACAAAGGAAACAGACTTTTAAGGGCAGTAGCATATCAAGTGTATTTATTTTTCAGCTAAACCATACTTAATAATAAAATGTACATTTTCATCCACCTCAGTATACAGCTGAAATCTCCCAAGTATTCATGTCCCTAGCACACTCAAGAGCAACTATGGACAGAACAAGTAGAGACATTCATACATTTATCACTTTTAAATATAACCAAGGAGCAACTTAAATGGACAGCCACTTTCCATCTGAGAAAGGAGTCAAAAAGTGAGAAAGCCTGACCAAAACTTGGTTTGGATTGAAACTGCAGAGGTTGATACTGTAGCAGAAACCACCTGGAGCCAAATCTCAAACAGAGGGTATGAGACCTAATGTGACACTTGCAAGGTACCACCCAAGAATAAAAAAGGCATTCATAGGAAATAGGAGTACATTAAGATGTAACTGGACTCGTGAGCTACAGCTCAGTCTCTGTATCCCATACTCCAAACATCCAAATTACCCCAGCAGTCATTTTACTCCAGGATGAAATGGACTCACACATCCTCTTTTGTATTTTCAAGATAGCTTTGCTTGGAAAATAAGCTTCTGTCCTGTCAATGTTTCCTGTGTGTTAACTCAGAACAATACTTTCATAACAGCACAGTCAGTACTTTCTGTGGAACATCTGAAACAATTATACCTCTCTAGCTTCAGCTTTGACAATTAAATTAGCATGAATATGTGTACTTCTAAAATACCTTAAACATTCAAAAAAACATTCTTTCAAAAAGTGAGAAGTGCTGTTTGGATATTTGGCATATATAGAAGTACAAGTCAAATAAAGTTATCTAATCCACATTACACCATACAGATGAATAACCAGATCTGCCTTGATTGGCAGTCTCCAAAACATTTCTCCATCCAATGTGATTGCACCAGCTTTTTAAAAGTCAGAATAAAATAAGATGAAAGAGGCCACTAGCTGGGTAGTTACCTGGGCCAGCTTGAAGTTGTCTAGATTACTCATTGGCTGATAATTTCCTCATGAATTTTGTTATGAAGTAGCCACAGAAATGCCTCACCCATAAAAAAATTCAGTGTGGGAGAGGAAGAATCCATCACTAGACTAGACAGACCTAAGTAACTATTATCCTTTCTTTCACTGTACTTTGATAGGAGAGTTAAGAGCTTTGTTCTCTAAAGAAATTATCCAGTACAGACTAGAGTAACCCACAAACTACCATTCTTGTCCATGGTATCAAGAACATACAGCAACACACGTGTCCTGTGAGATGATCTACTTCATATCGAATATTAACAGTGAAATCTCTATAGATAAACAACAACATGATAGTGACATGTGCCAAATACAAAATGTCGACAAATGTTATACTTTTCCATTGCCTTGATGCCTTGAGAATTGAAGCCAAAAAAAAGTACATACTGTTAGGTGGAATTTGCATTAGCTACTCTGCATAAATGCCTCTAAATTCCATGACAGACACTAGCTTAAATATAAAGAAAACCTAGTAACTACATGTTTTGAGACAACATTTTTGTAATCAGTAAAATAAATTATTTTTTACAAGCCACTATTCCCGAGGTCAGAAAGCTATATTTACTAACAGAAGGTTAAAACATCTTCAGATCTTTAAATTATGACATTTATCTAAGACCATCTCCTAGAAACAGTGATTGATGGGACAAACAAATGTTACTCTCCATGAGGATAATTTTTACTCACTTCAGCACCTGCTATTCACTGAAGTATGCAGACTGTGCACTGTTTAACAATATTATGTTAAAGCACAGATGTCTAATGCTTAAGCAAACTTTATGTACTTTTAAGACAGACTGAGTTGGAAGCCACAGAAAGATGTTGGAAGCCACAAAAAGATTGTGGTTAAATGGACACAGAAGCTTCATAAATGTGTATTTCCCTAATTACTGCATTTTGAAGTCCATTTACCAGTCATCAAAAAACTGTTGTTGCTAGGTTTTTGCAAGTAGTTGCTGGCCTTCCTGCCTGAGACTACAGCACTAACCACTCAGACTGATACTGCACAACTACACGTTTTATGCAAAAAAAAAGGTAATTTTCTCCAAGTGTTGTTCTAAGGTTTCCTCCTCCTGTGTCCAACTTTTCTTTTAAGTTCAGCCATTAATAAAATTAACAAAGAAACCAATGAGAATTCATTTTTGGAGACAAATTCAATATGGATCTATCCATATTTTCTCTCATATCTCAGTAGGGTATTTCATGGTAGAATTAAGATCAAATTTAGATTTACTGTAAAAATAAGTGAAATACAACAGAACAGTACAGTGTAAATTTGTCATACCTCAAGATCTTGCAATTCAGTTCCATCTTCTATATCTTTCAATAGTTCAGTTAGCCTTTTCCTTTCTCCCTCAAGCATAACAAATTGGTTTCCTGAATCCCTTGCTAGCTGAAATATTTGCAAGAAAAAACCCATGCTTAAGAATTCCACTAACTCAAACACCTCAAAAAATAAAGCTTTTAACTCTGTTTATTTCAATAATACAAATTATCACTCTAACAGAAAAAATATAGCAGCCTACATATAATAAATTTATAATCTTATCTTAGTCTTTAATATAGTGGGGAGGTAAATATTTTTCATTAGATGAAAAATCATGATACCTACTAGGTCCTCACAGGAAAAAAAAAAAAAAAAGCAGAAAATCAAGGCATGTCTTTTCTGACAAAATGTGCTCCCATCCATGCTACACATGAACAACGTGTATATCTATCCCTTATTTATGCATCAGGTTAACAGTAAATAAAGTTAACTTTATTTAACAGTAAATAAATTTTTAAAAAGTTTTAGGATATTGCCCTTAAAAAAAACTATGCCCAGGCACAAGCACAATTCAGTATCCAGTGCTATTTATCAAATGCATAGAAGCTGTATTATTCTAACCAATATGAACATCCAAGTTGAGAACTGCCTAATACAGTACTCTGACATAAACAGCAGTTTTAACAGAAAGGTCTTCATTTATGCCTAATTAACTTCTGAAGTTCCTGATTTTAAAAGAAAACTGTCTTCAAAAGTACTTATTGCCTAATATCTAGCTAACATTTTAAAAATGTTACTGGTTTTATACTTCAGTGCTTACCTCAATGTTCTTTTTAATGAAATGCTGGCTGGTTTTATTTTTGCTATGCATTTTTTCTGCTGTTTCTTCTGTTTCTAATTCACTTGGATGATCTGATGTTTGAGGAAGAAAAGTTGCTACATTAAAATCATTCCTATTTTGATTCTACAAGAACTGTAATAACATCAATCCCATTCAAACCTTTAGCAAATATACAGAGTCAATAGACAAACTTTTTGTATGATGTTTTCATTATTTATGTAAATAATAGCATTTAAAACATACTATTGCCAAAATCTAATTTCATTTTCAACTTTTTATTATATGAAATCACTCAATGTTACAAAGGCTGAAATACTTCTGGATTTCTGACCTCAAAAATGTTAAACATGGTGGCCTTAAAAGCCACAGCATTCCTTTAAACCCTATCATCATTGCAGTTTTCTCATCATTACAAAACCAGACAATAATTTTTTTGAAAACCACAGAACTATCTGGAGACATATCAAGTACATTTTTCTAAATAAAACAGCTGAAAAACAGATGATATAGTTGATATTATTATAACAGCTTATAAAGCAAACATTGTTAAAAAATAAAACTCATCATAGAGCTGTAAATCTATTAAACACACACATGATATTCTAATAACAATAGGTTTCTATCCATGACCAAAAAAAAGGCATGATTCTGTTTTTCAGAGACTTTTACCATGCTTAAAATAACAATTCCTTTACAAACAGCAAATATTTGTCACATTAAATAACAAGTCTAAGCAAATATAATCAACTTCTAAATCTCAAGAACTACTTCAAAAGCAGCCAAAAGTACTTTTTGCTTTTCTGGAAGCAGAAATTTGAAAAATGGGTGGGTTATTTCCCTACAAAAAATGAATTTGACATGTTAGAAAATAGAAGACAGGCTATATGGAAATAATTCTTTTTCAGAGGGAAGAGAATGAAAGCAAGCTCCCAAAGATAAGAAATAAATTCCATGCATCCTTTACACACAAGTCTTAAAGGCTTGAGGTGCTGGATCTGACCAAGAAACCTCCCTCACAGTTCAAATGCATAACTGTTTTCTCAAAGCATCCTAAGCTTTCTTTACCATTACCAGGCAACACCATGGTGTCAAGGAAATGGATCATATAGGAATGTAAGCATCAATATAAAGATGACAAGTTGCATCCTGAAGTGAGCAGAACATACCAAACACCAACATAACATGCAAGATACACCTTACTTTTAAGCTATATCTTTCACTTGACTGTAGAATAGCATTTTTTAGAGGGAGCTATCATACAGAACATCCCAGAACATTGAAGAAAGAAGGGACAGACAGACATGGATCACTGAGACAAAGAAGACACTGAAGACTGCCAAGGGTAATTAAAAGAGAGATTGCAGCTAAACAAATTTTGCATATGCATTTTGGTAGATTTGGCACATATTTCAAAGATTTGGTATAAATCTTGATGAGACTGATGAAGTAACAGCATAAAACTAGTGCATACATTCTTCTTCACAAGCTCCTAATTGTTCTTGGTCTGCCTTTATGACAGCTGTGACACAGAAATCCAAGAGCAACCAAAACAGTAATTCTTAGCTATTCAGACACCACATGAAAAGCCTCCAGCAGAAATAGTAAAAGTCATTTAAAGCAATATATATTGCTCACAAGCTGTAAGTGATCTCTACTTCATGCATTCCCAAAGTAGGAATGTGCAGAACATCTCAAAATAGTGCAAGTGATAGCAACTCCCAACCATGCTTGTACTGGAAGCTCCAGAAGTCAGTGCTGTACTGAATACTGGTAATGAAACCTGCCATTGTTATTCAAGGGCACTCCAGCACAACTCAGAAATTTTGGAGCAAGAAGCTGAGGGTCAAGCTTTATTTTAAGAGAGGAATGAAAATGCATGATAGAAAGAGAAATTAAAAGCTCTAGCCCACAAAGAGAAGGTCACATACTGGGGAACTTGTCTTACAAGTGCTAAAATGATAAAGGAGCTTAGTTCCATGTTTAAAAATTAAAACGTGCAGTCACATTCTACAAACTGCAGAGATATTGCTGCCATCAATGCTTCAGCCTTAAGGAATGCACTTATATTACATCTTTGTCATCTCAGTCACCAGGAAGATCGATTCCTTCCGTTTACATAGAAGGGTGGTTGACAAAGAAATAAACAACTGCAGCTGATAGCAATGGCAGTTGAAGCTATTGTTCTTATATCACAACACATGTGAAAAGTTACTAACCACACAAATTTGAATTTCAAATAGGAAAAGAATAGAGGCATACAAGCACAATTCCATTTATTTTGACATGATGGACACACTACACCACTAACAGCATTTGAAATGTCTGTACAATGCATGATATCACATGGTCCCTAAAAGAATCAGCAAGTGTTTGAGTTTTGTCAGAAAGTACTTATTTCATAAAAGCAATGCAGACTTTACAATAATCAGGATAGCAAAATATAAAATAAGTTGTCTGAAGATTTATGTTTGACACAAATCTGTACAATTTCTGCTGAAAACCAAAAAAATAGAGAACAGTTGCAGTCAGATTCAGCACCACCTGTCATTTTTAGATGGTTTCTGGAATATAAGCCTATTAATAAAAGCTACAATACCTTAGAGTAACAGCAAAGATAAGTTTTTAAGGAACTGCCATGAAGAATCAATGATACTTTTATAATATATCAGTTACACACCTCTTCCTTTTGAAATTATAGAAAAATGGCTTTATAAACCCAGCAGTAAAAAATTTCTTAGCATGTTGAGTAAAATGTCTTAGATAAGTCACACCGCTGTTCTCTTCTTCCATTTGCAATAAAGGTAAGAACTGTGACTATTCCAGAAAGTAATCTTGCTTTTTCCCATTTCACCGGCCTTGCCAAAAGGCTGAGTCTTCACTACCCACCCATTGTACTTGTTGTTTTGACATTTCTAACAATACAAACTCTACCATTAATAAAGCTTACCCTGGTTTTCTTGGGCTTTATGGCAATCATAATCTTCAGGATTCATGTGTGTGTGAAATACTGAAGTACATATTTCATCTTCTTTAGCAGGGGAGAGATCTGTAAGTAATTTTTTTCCAGTGAAATTTAATTGAAATATATTTAAAGAAGATCTAATATCATGTGTATCATACACTCAGAAAGCAAAGAAATTCACTTTGATAAATGACATAAGCAGTGTATTTCTCAAGAAATAAAGAAGGGGGAAAGTGTAAAGTGTGAGTCATATTTATGCAGTTTCTTATGGCTGTGTTCATGTTTTTAACAACTACTGCCCTTGGAAGACAATTCATCACATTCTCAAAGACATAACCTAAGGCACTAAAGTTCAAATGCCTCTGCAGACACCATGTGGCAAATCATCTAAAACTTTGAATGAGAGTAAGGCATCCAGGTTTTCACAGCTGGTGTCTGCCTGTGCATGAATTATTAGACATCCAAGCAGCTTAGGTCAAGGGCATAGTCTAGAAAAACAGTGTTCAAGCATCCTACTTGTTTCAGTTACTCAAAGAAAAAAATAAATCAGTTGAAGGATTCATATGTGCCAACTGGAAATACAAGTTAGAGCAGTAAGACACAGTCTATACACTTAGCACTTACAGAAAATGACTCATATTGCAAAGAACCAAACTAATTGTATGTGATTTTCACAATTAAAAAAACATACAATAACCACTAATAATTAAGCGTAATGGATTCAAGTGAACAAATTATTTTCTTAAAGCATGAGGTAAGAAATTTAGGGCTGTTTAATTAACCCCTGATTTAGATTTCTGCTGTGAGTATGTCAGAAGGTTTTGTTGTGCCTGAAAGGCTTGGAACACTTAAGTTATTAATGATTTTGTACCGAAACTTGTGCTTGATTTCATAGCTACATTAAAAACTATAATAGCTCTCATATATCATTTACTTAATAAAGCTCTATCAAATTCAAGTTCTGAAAAGCAAAATATATTAAATGTATTCCATTTCAGTATCAACCAGGGCAGCCATCAAGATATTTGTTTAATTAAATAAATACCAAAATAAATAAGACCTGAAAAGTAAGGCACTAGCATGATACAGAAAATATAAAGATCAAGTTGGAGGAAAGCTATAAATCTAAACTATGCACTTTTGTCAGTGCAGTACACCAGAAACCACATGATGCACATGGTCTCTACAGGAGTTACTTTTGAGATAAAGGTGTTAGCAGTTATATAGTCTTGTTTGTCTAGTGTTATTTTATTATATCCTGACATCTACTGGAGACTGTCTAAATATCACCCATATCAAATTGTTTCCTTCCCTTAGTAACCCAAACTTTAGCATAGAAATAAAAGCAGGTTACATTGTAAATAGTTAAGTTTTGTTTAAATATTTTAACTGCACACTGCTACCATTATTATATATGTACTTCCAACATTCAAGCTGAGATTTTTGCTCAGCAATAACCATTCAGTCCTCAAATCCTTATTCTCTTCCCAAAAAGAAAAAAGATAGGATGTATCACAATTCTGTTTCTCTTTCCTTACCAGCTGTATTATGCCACGATGAGAACACAGCTAAAAACTGGTTTGTGTTTTCCACCTCCTCATTGCTTCCTGTCGTTCTGATACACTAGTCAAAAGAAATAAACTGCATATGTAGAGATACATGCATGTATTTAAAGTAAATTCTTTAAAGGGAAATACATTGTCTGCTTATCAGATCTAATGAACTTCAGACCTTATTAAAAATTACTCTTCTCCATTTATTTTCATCTTGAAGCTATCTTAATTATCTCCTGAAGTTATGACAAAAGTATGGTGAAACTTTAAAGCCTCTGTTACATATTGCCTTTTATGTGAAGACCTACTTCACCAGACAAAGAAGTTCTGTAACATCTATGCGGCTCCAAATCCAAATCCAATGAAATTATGAAATTAAGTCAAACCAATCATGTTTTTTAGCAACTCACATTTCTATTCACGTAAAACAGAGGAAATACTAACTTGTTTCAAGGCATTTAACTGCTAGAGGTCAGGACAGGTAAAGGAATTTGTGTTGTAGCATTCTTATGCCTTCTTCAGGCAGCATCTTTATTTTCTTCAACAACAGACAGCACTGAAACAGCTGGGCCTAAGAAGGATCCCTCGTGAGCAGAATAAATGTTTTCAGCCTGCGTTCGCTGATGTTACCTCCTGACACACCTTACCCTCCCTGCAAGCAGAGAACTCAAGCATAATACTATGCTAATAAACCACCCCCAGACAGCTGCGTATTTGGCAATTTGTCTTATCAATTTTTAAGGACCATCTCCCTCTTTTAAAGCCTGCCTAGCCAAAATGTATTAAAAACTATCTAATCTTACTTTTTAAGATCCATTTCTTAATTTTAGTTAGCCAAGTGTGAGTTATTTAATAATAAGGTTTATCTGAAATACGACAATTCTGTAAGATGGTACTGTAAGATATATCAGTCACAAAATAAGCAGAGCACTTCTAACCTGAAGTTCTTCCCAGAGCATTGCCCTCATTTCTCTGCCTCGCTTTTTAACTGCTTTTTCCTTAAAACACTGTTTTTCAAGTATTGCATCAAGTTTATTCATTTTCTTTATAGCTGCTTGAATCCGAGCATTTATGTCCATGTCTTCAGAACATTCCAAGTCAGAAGAGTCTGCTGGAGAATATATTTAAAATTAATGTCAGCTGTAAACAAGTCAAAAAACCAAACAAACATTAAAAAGCAGTTCAAGTAATTTGGCAACACCCATTGACGAGAGTACAACATTCTCAAACACATGTTAATTTCTAAACCTGTTTGTAGCAGGGAAAAATACAGAAGTCTTTGCAACAGAGTGCTGAATCAAACTCTGAGCTGCAGCAGTTGGATATGGAGGTGTGGGAGAGGAAAAGTCACCTATTTTGAGCAAGTGATTTGATTCAAATTCAAAGTGATTTATAATGGCAGATATCTGCACAGTATCAGCAAAAAATCACTGACTTTAAAAATATAAGATAATTTTTTCAGCCTGACTTGTAGAAAACATTTTGAAATTAGTAATTCAAAAGAGAGACTTTTGAGGGGGTTAAGAGAGACTGTAATATCTCTGCCTTTAAATACTAGAGAAGTTTCAGTCTTATGACTTAGCAAAACCAGATTCCAATGCTGGTTCTAGAAAAATATTGCTATAAAAAATGAAAAACTGTGAAACATGATGGAAACTACCATTACTTAATTAAAGTAAATTTCTACATTTTCTCCTTTTTTCCTAAATATGCAGATTATAATTATAACTTTTACCTTTTCCCCTTCCTATAGCATCCTCATGCTCTGTCCTCTTCTATGGCTTCCACATTAAGAATAGAGGAAACACTTGTAGCACTGTCCCTGATCCCACAGACTTACAAATTTTGGAACCCTTCAGCACTCTATTTAATTTTCTAATCTTTTGAGGTCAAATGCTTTACATAGCCATTGATCCAAGCATTGACTGTGATGCACTGGTCTACTTTATGCCATAAAAATATCATGGATACAACAAGGGGAGAGCTATAAAAATCTAAGTGAGCTACTGAGGACAGAAGGAACAAAGGACAGATGGTAAAAAAAAAGAGCACTTATTTCAACTGGCCTGAACTCAGCAGACTGATATAAACCTTAAACTACTGAGTGAAGCTTTAGGTTGAGTTCTATCGAATTTCTGTTCTGTAGATATTAATATCATGTTTGGTGACCAACAATGCTACACTGGGTATGATAACCACTGAATTCTGCCTTATTAGACTGATTGAATCTATGGAAAACTCAAATTCTATTATAGTGCTAAAGAAAAGTAATAGCCATTAATAAAGCAATTATCTAAATAAAGAATTCATCCAATACCACTTGAAAAGCACAATTCATATACATATTCAATTTGCAGTATTCTTTTATAACTATAGAATATACACACAAATACACAACCACTACAAACTCTCTTAGAAGCATTAATAAGAAAAGATTTTATTGCACTGCTAATTTTATACACCTGAAAAGTACTATCTGATTTTGCATTACCTGGTTTTCCTGGGGAAGGTTCACAAAATTTCAAAGTTTGTGGAGTATTATCTGACTTTGCATTACTTGGCTGTCCTGGGGAAGGTTCACAGAATTTCAACATCTGTGCTTCAGTGCTTTCATCTCGAGAATCTGAAGTAGAGCTACATCCTGAAAAACACAGGGAAAAGCCTTTCACAATAAACCAGATACATTTTTGTCAGTTAGGGATCACCACAGAGCCCTTGCAATGAATTAATTTTTAAAATAGCATATACTAGTACACCAGAACTCATGTTAAAACAGGAGCAGGAATCAAGGGATTTCTTTTGACCCCAATTCTGTCATGAATTCTTAATTAAATTTCAAGACAGTATCCAAATATCTGCTTCACTCACTGGCCTTTGCATGTCTATTGGTAAACAGTTGGACACCCCAGAACATTAATCCATTACCATTTACAGAATGACAGAAGAATGCCATGAAACACTTCTGCAAGTGCTTCAATTAAAGTTATACACTGCATACTTATATTTAAAGTATTTTATTAGTATTAACATTCTTCATTTGTTAAATACTGTAATTTATAACCATAAATTCCAGGTTTTTGGACAGGTGGACCATTATTAGGATACAATGCTTCTAACAAATGATCGTGATTACTCTGAAAAGTTTGATAAAAACATCTGAATGAAAACACTTTCTAGCATGATTCCATGGAGCACACACAGATGGGTTTTAATGATCTTTTAAGCCAGATCACAGATTATGATGCCACAAGACATTTACTGTACTGTACTGACAGTAATAACACATTTCTTTCAAAGGTGATTTCAAACACTGAAGAGAAATGAAGGTATGGATTTTGACATCTTCTTTTCCAGAATTTTGCCTATTTGCAACCTCTATTCTCTCAATCAGCAGAATTTCACCTGAACTGTAAAAACTTGATATTTGGTCTAGACAGAACACAAGAAAGTTTTAGTCATTCCCACCTGGCAACTCGTCGGGATTCCATAGACACTTGTGAAGAGAGATGGTCATGCTCTCCACTGTTTGCTGATCAGTTCTTACATCCTGGACATCAGATCTATCTCTGTCATCACCTTTGTCTTCTGCTGGACAGCCATCTTCCAGACTGCCTCTCTGATAACCATCAGCCAAACTGACAGGTGAATCAACCTAAGAAATGCAAATTATTGCCACCCTGAAAACAGGGATGTTTTGGGTGAAGAAGATAACCACAACACTCAAGCGCTATCACAAAGGACAACAACAATTCTGTACTACACTGCAGAGTACTTCTTAAATAAAAGAACCATTTTTAGGTCTGACACTGATACTAGGAAAGAGCTCTTTTTCTTAGATTTCACATCGATTCTCCAGCTCATCATTCCCCAGAATGTCAGATTTGGGCTTGTCAGGCTAGGATACTAAAAGAGCAGAATACTACTTCTTTAGCATTCTACTATGAAGAATTAGGCATGGAGGTTTTAACCTGCAGAAGGAGAGAAAAATTACCTCTTGCAAACATGGTTCTGGTGTCGTTAACTCCATAGATGTATTTAAAAATCTACAATTAGGTTGGGCTAGATGCAGGCCTTGAAATTTCATCCAAGCTCCTACTTGTAATATCCACTGTTACCTAAAATTGGGGAAAAGAACAACAAAAACATTTTAAATTAACAGTTCCAAAATAAAGCACTACAAGCCCTGCAATATTTCAGATATAAATCATGTAAGTTTCAAATGCTTTCTAGCAACTCCATGTTGCAAGGCTTTTCCAGTTCAGACTGGCTTGACACTCAAGTATGTGCTTTTCTTTTTAATATACATAAAAATATATATTTATATCATCAAGCCAACCAAAGCATTCAAACGTGCTTATTATCAAAGACACTTCGAATAGCATACATCTTACAAATAATCTCACAACTGAGGAGTTATCACGGCTGTAGTTTAAACTACAGACACATACGTTTCTCTGAAAAAGAAAACAACAACAAAACTGTGTGAATTCACAGGAATTCGACATCTCAGCGCATTGTGACACGTGCAGGAAATTCTCAGAGGGCTCAAATGAATACAAGTCTTTATTTCAGTATAAGGGAGGCAGGGAGGAAAGCAGGCAGGAAAGCAGGCAGGAAAGCAAGCAGGAAAGCAGGCAGGGAGGGAGGGAGGAAAGCAGGCAGAGAGAGAGGGAGGGAGGGAGGAAAGCAGGCAGGGAGGGAGGAAAGTAAGAAAGCAGAGAGGAAGGCAGGGATGGAGAGAGGGAGGGAGGGAGGCAGGAAGGCAGGAAAGCAGAGAGGCAGGCAGGGAGGTGGAGCAGGAGCCCCGTCCTCACCGCCGGAGGGCAGCAGCGCGGGCGCCGCCGCCGCCGTTGCCGTGACGACCGGGCCGGCGAAGTCTCGCGATAGCTGCGGCTGTGGCGGCGCGGGCCCGGTTGCGCTGCCCTGCGGCTCCGCTCCCGCTCCGGTGCCGCTCGGTGCGCAGCGATCCGGACGGACCGAGCTCCGCCCGTGCCCCGCTGGAGCTCTGCCCTGCCCGTCCTGGTGGAGAGGAGCGCTGCCTGCAGGGCGGCTCCTTCTCCGAGCCCCCCGTTCCGCAGCCGTGTGAGCGACAGGCAGTGCCTGTCCTGTGGGTTACGGGTGTTCTCTGCCCGGCCTTGGCCTCGGCGCTGATTGTGTCATGCTCGCACACAAGGGTGGTTGAATCGATTTTCAATAAACCCGTCAAAACATAAAATTGTTACTGTCGTCACTGCTTTCACGTGAACACTCACTGCTAATAAGGAATTAATTATTAATAAGGGAAGCACGATTGCCTTCCTAATCCCGTATCTTTTTATCTTTCCTGCATTTTAGCGAAATGTGAGGATTAATTCCAATGGTTCGATTAACTTTAAAAAAAACCGGCAGAGACAATTCCGGCCTCTTACTGCTTCCTTTGATACCCATGTGTGTTAAAATCAGGTTTTCATTGGCAGTAAAAATTCACAAGAAACAGTTTCCTCTAAAGAAACAAAGTGCATCTCGTTCAAATTAAGGTGTTGATTGACAAATTTTTGTGCCAAAATAAATATACTTAGCTAGTGGTGTTATGTATTGAGGTCTGCAGTAGAGCTTTTGTTGATGCTTAGCGTATATTGCATTTTACCGTCACATGTGCCACTCAGAGAACCATTTTTCCTGGTATTTAGTGTAGTCACGATGCAGTGTGGCTCCCGGTTAAGAACTGCAGACAAACAGAAAATGCTCTAGGGAACCCTGTGTGGTTTTGCCTCCTCCCTAAGTGTGCTGAGCTCTGCTACGTTAAAATTTTACCATCTTCTGATTGCTAAAGCAATACCATAGTGGTGTGTGGAACCTGTGGTGCTTTCCAGATGGTGCAGATGATGATTTGAAGAAAAGGAAAAAAAAGAAATAAAAAAAAGAAAGAAAAAAAATAAAAGAATGCATGTTTATATGTGCAAGTTGAATATCTAAGGCCGGTGATGACACCGAGAAAGCAGTGGAATGGACAGTATATTCCAAACTGGCTAAATCAGAATATGAGGGTATTAGGAATTACATTAGCTATGCATAATGAGGTATGGCAAGAAGCTGGGTGTAACTGCCCAAATATTTTTTTTCCTACAGTACAATGCATATGCTGAACAGCTGACAGAGTTTGTCTTGTTATCAACTTTCCTATTACGGACTGCCTACAACCTCACAAGAGTCTTTGAAAGGAGACCATCCAGCTCTGGATCTGCTTACAAATGGACATAAAACTCCTTTGAAATTGGTGCAGGAATAGGCTTCTTGCTGTTGTTTGTCCACATAAAACCAGTGAAGGTTTCCAATGAGGCTGTCACACCTGAGGTTGAGTAATAATGGCTGAGCAGGGATATCTCAAACCACAGTTGACCTTATCATCTGCTATGTGTCCTGGAAGACCCAGAGATGAAGAGGTTCATAGAGTTCATCTCAAATCCTGTAAATCAGTTCATAAGAGTCTTCCTCTCCAATAAAGACTGAACTTTATTAATAATATTAAATATTACATAATCTCGAATATTGTTATAGGTGGCAGGTGTACTTAAGCTTGAACTAGAACTTGTACTGAAGCTTGAACTAGAAAAGCAGAATGAAGGATGAGCTTTCTTTTTTTGCCTTTCCAGGAACAGGCCATTTTGTTCCAAGATAAACTAGATAGTTCTTTGAAGTATAACAATTTTTCTATTTAAAAAAAAAGGTTGGAATGGAAAAAACTCTTTGTGTCTAGAAAGTGAACAGGAAGAAAAACACTCTAAGATGTACTTTTCATCCTAAAAATAGGTTATACCATGATGAAATCACATTTAGACAAGCTGTCTTGATACTCAGAACACAGTTGTCATAGTAACAGAATTTATTTATCCTTTTCTTCCTGATCCAATCAAAAAGAAATACAAACAACGGGGACATACAGGGAACTTGTTCCCAATTGCTATTGCTTACCTTCATACTCCTCTTCTGAAAAGCCTTTTAATATACAGGTAGGTAGCCAAAACACTTTTATGTCATTGTCTCATACATGGAGAAAAAAAAATTAATGCTCATTAGTTATTTGCCTTAGATTATTTTTCATATATTTCTGTGTACTCACCTGAAGTGCCTTTTATTTACCATAGGCAATATTTTTAAGGCAGCCTGCAACAGTTCCAGTACTCAGGTTAGGAGAAGCACAGCTGATATTCACTATATTAATTCCTATAAATGTTAGGGCAATAAACAGACTCCTATCTTGCAAAGGAAAAAGTGATTATGTAAAAAAGACCAGATAAATCCCCGTAACTCACTTCTGTGTAACTTTAATGTGATGTTATAACAAGACTTGTTTATTGGAGTTTTTTTCAGGTTGGACACTGGAAAACATTTTGCCCAAGTGAACAATTTGAGCAACAATCCAAGCAACAGCAGTAATGACTCAAAGGTACTACAGTCTTAAATGGAGTTAAAAATGAAACAAGTCAAATATTCCATCTTGCATAAAGAATTTCCTGAATTACTGTTTTCTGATGGCAATTCTACCATAGAGGCTAGTTTGTGAAATTTACACAGATTAAACAGGTTGGTTTTTACACAGGTTGGGGTTTTTTTCTATAAAAAGATGTGCTTTGTGAATTTTTTCCATATGGATGAATTGCTAAAAGATGAACTAAAAACATTCTCAAGTAATTCCTGAGGTATGAAAAATCACTGTAGTTAATTTCTTGGTGAAGGATTTCAGTGTCTTTGGATATAATCTGATTTAAAAAGTACAATCAAGTGTTGACATATATTTTTTTGAAAGAAAGAAATATTTTTGTCTCAGCAGTAAAAACCCATCACAAACCCTTTGCTTTCCAGATATAACATGAAATTATATACAATTTAACTCTTTAAATTTAACTTTGGTGTTTCATTCAACAGGACAGTTGAAAAGGACAAAAGTTGGTTTGCTTTCTTCAAAGGAGTTCAGATCTGAGTAAACATTTATCCACGTTCAGAAATCACAGAGATTTTGAGCAGTACCTATATGTAAGCAAGATGTGAATGTTAAACTTAGCCAAAATTCATAAGGAAACTACAACTCCTACTTTGATTTTTAGGTTTTCAAGATTTTCTCAATGGCATCTGTTCTTTCACTAATTTTGGAAAAACAAACACTCCGTTAAATTACTTTTATTGGCACTTTTAAAAAATGCATGCTGTAGTACTTTTCTACCTCTGCCACAGAAGGACCAATTTTTTCTGGAATCTTTCTTCTGTCTGATTTCAGGCAAGCTGTGTCTGTCTTTTCATCTCTGTATCTAAGAAGGGCACCTCAGGCTTCCACCACCCATCTGGACCCCTTGAAGACTGTTCCTCACTCCCAAACTGAGAAGCTCTTGAACTAGCAAGAAATGAAATGTACTGAAACCAAAGAGGAATTGGAGAAAAACATATTTTACACAGTAATTTATACACTTTAAATACATTTTTATTAAAACATTTGCTTTTAATGACTTGTAGAAATCCACAATCTTGGAGCCATCAGAAGCTGGTGACTTCCTTCAATAATGTTGAAGGAAGAAAAGGTACATTCTGCTTTAGCAGAATTTCTTCTTACTTTTAAGATTAACTAGTTGGATTTAGTAAGTTTCTTTGAACTTGTCAAGATTCACCTTGTCCCTTTTAAAGTATGCTTTAAAGAAAACTACTTTCACAAACAGACAGTAATCACAGATAAAGGTTCAGCATGCAGCAAAGGGCTGAAGTACAGGAAAACCACAAGGAACAAACAGGTGTTACAAAGATTGTGCTTTTAAGAAACTACCCACAGAGACAACAGTGACTGCAGATGAAAGACTGCTTAAAACTGAACAAGAGCTAAAATGTCAGGGTTGCAATAGTTTTAGGTCACCTAACAGACAGCTAGAGTTTAAAGTTCACATTCAGTATAAATGAGACAATATGCCTGTGATTATGCAGAGAGGCAAGCTGCAGCACAATGCCTGAACTCTCAGAGAAAGGCTGCTGAGCTGATACCAGGGTTGGCATGACTGACTCACTCAGGAATTAGGCACCAGATTTGAAAGTCTTGTGTTCATACACTGGATGGTCTGCTCTGCAAGATGAGTGGAGCAGGAGGGTTGGTATCTGTGTCTGTGAAGATGGAAAACTTCTCTACCTCTGGCAATATTGAGCAACAGCACCAATAAACCTTTGCCTTTTAGGTCTGTTGCAAGCTTCTTCACCCAACAGTTCTGCTGTCACTGAAACACTCAGAATCCCTCTCTGTGAGTCTCTCTCTCTCTGTGTGAGAGTGAGACAGACTCAGAAACCGAGACTGTCACACTCAGAGAAAGGCCACTAGCATTTCACACCCATTTATTTCATTTGCTTGCTTTTCCATAAGAAAACAGCAGAGTGCACCAGCAGCTAAGTTTATATCAAGGCTTA